AAGGTATAAAGAAAACCTACTCTTTCTGCCTACATCTTACCACTCAGAAACAGTATTTCTGGGTATATCCTTTCAGACTTTCTCTAGACACACAAGCATACCTAGATATAGAAAGCAGAACCTCTGTAAGCTGACCGCCCAACGGACTGCAACAACTGGTCAACACAAAGAGTGGGTCGACACACAGAACTTTTTTCTTTAATTAAATCATAAACACATAGATCGTGTATACATTAATGCATTTATGGGGTACAATGTGCTATTTTACATAGAATTAGGAACTCTTACATCACACTGGTTAATATATACCTCATCTTGTCTACTTAATTACTGTGTTAAGACATTTATACTCTATACTTAATAGACCCGACATGTACCCCTGTATTATGCACCATAGGTGTGATCCCACCACTCACCCTCCCTTAATCTGACCTCCCCCCCACCTCCTTCATCTTAGGCCATAGTTGTGATCTATTCTTCATATGAAAGTGTGATTATAAATTGATTTCATAATACCACTGAGTACACTGGATATTTTTTCTTCCATTCTTGAGATACTTTACTAAGTAGGATATGTTCCAGCTCCATCCATGTAAACATAAAAGAGATAAAGTCTCCATCTTTTTTAAGGCTGCATGATATTCCACGATACACATATACCACAATTTATTAAACCATTCACGGGTCGATGGGCACTTGGGCTTTTTCTATGACTTGGCTATTATGAATTGAGCTTCAGTGAACAATCTGGTGCAAATATCTTTGTTATAAATTGATTTTTGGTCTTTTGGATATACACCTAGTAGAGGAATTGCAGGATCAAACGGCAGGTCTACTTTTAGATCCCTGAGTATTCTCCATACTTCTTTTCAAAAGGGACGTATTAGTTTGCACTCAGCAGTGCACAAGTGTTCCCTTTTCTCCACATCCATGCCAACATCTGTAGTTTTGGGATTTTGTTATGTGAGCCACTCTTACGGGAGTTAGATGATATCCCAATGTGGTTTTGATTTGCATTTCTCCGATGATTAAAGATGATGAGCATTTTTTGTGTGTCTATAGGTCATGTGCCTATCATCTTCAGAGAAGCTTCTGTTCAAGTCCCTTGCCCATAATGAAATGGGATTACTTGTTCTTTTCTTATTAATAAGTTTGAGTTCTCTGTGGATTCTGGCTATGTCAGAGGCATAACCTACAAATATCCTCTCCCATTCTGAGGGCTGTCTGCTTGCTTTACTTGCTGTGTTCTTGGCTGTGCAGAAGCTGTTTAGTTTGATCAGATCAGAATTCTACTAAACATTTAAAGAGGAACTAGTACCTACCTATATTATATAACATTTCCCAAAACATCGAAAAAGAAGGAATACTTCCCAACACATTCTATGAAGCAAATATCACCCTGATCCCCAAACCAGGAAAAGACCCAACAAGAAAAGAAAACTATGGACCATTATCTTTAATGAACATAGATGCAAAAATATTCAATAAGAATCTAGCAACACATCAAACGAATTATACACCATGACCAAGTGGGTTTTATCCCAGAGTCTCAAGGTTGGTTCAATATACATAAATCTATACATATACTACATCACATAAACTAAAAAACAAAGACCATATGATTCTCTCAATAGATGCAGAAAAGGATATCCAGCATCCTTTCATGATCAGAACACTTAAGAAAATAGGTATAGAAGGGACTTTTCTTAAACTGATAGAGGCCATCTACAGCAAACCCACAGCCAATATCATACTGAATGGAGTAAAACTGAAAACATTTCCACTCAGATCAGGAACCAGGCAAGGATGCCCATTGTCTCCACTGCTTTTTAACATAGTAACGGAAGTCTTAGGCATCACAATCAGGCAAGAGAAGGTGATCGAGGGTATACAAGTAGGGTCAAAGGAGAGCAAACTTTCACTCTTCTCAGATGATATGATTTTAGACCTGGAAAACCCAAGGGACTCAACCACAAAACTTTTAGAAGTGATCAAGGAATACAGTAGCGTCTCAGGATACAAAATCAATATGCACAAATCAGTAGCTTTTATATATACCAATAATAGTCAAGCCAAAGAAATAGTCAAGGACTCTATTCCCTTACATTTGTGCCAAAGAAAATGAAATATCTGGGAGTTTACCTAACAAAGGACGTGAAAGAGCTCTATAAAGAGAACTATGAAACTCTGCGGAAAGAAATAGCTGAAGATGTCAACAAATGGAGAAACACAAGGAACTTTCATAAAGTATGTGTGGTGCGTGTCTGGTTAAGAGAAGGAGGTGGGCAGTGTAGGGAGGGGCAGCTATGAAGGTTCACAGTGTCTGAGTATTCTGTGTGCATCTTCTACCACAGAGGCAGATCTTTACAAATGCCAACAGCTGAAGAGCGTCACACTGAAGGACTCCAGGATGGGCTTTCTCTGGCTCAGCATCATAGCATTTGGGGACAGACTGCTCTCTGCTGTGGGGTCTATCCTGTGCCCTGCAGCATCCCTGCTCTTTACTCATAAAATAACAGCAGCAAACACCATTCATGTCCAAAGTTTTGACAACCAGAAACATCTCCAAACATTGCCAAATGTTCCTCTGGGGGGCCAAATAGTCTGGATTGGGAATCCATGGTCTAGGGATCAAAAATACAAAAGAATAAAAAAAAAGAACCCCAAATGTACTGCACTTATGTATTTTGCACCTAATCTGCAACTTCCAGACCTGAAGCCTAAGGTTCTCAAGAGGCTGACCAACAGCACAGCAGGCCCCTGCAGGCGGGGTGCAGTGCAGAGCCCACCTGCAGAGGGCGCCACTCACAGACAGACCCAGGGAAGGGTGTCCCTGCAGGTGCACAGCAGTGCTGGCTATCCGTGTGGTCGGTCCCCGGGGCTCAGTGTTGGTGCTTCAGGGGAGGCCAGGGCACTGCAATAATCCCACCCCACCCTGACCTGTACCCTACTTCTTCTGTGTACCAATCAAAACACTCTGCTCTTACTCCCTTCATATTTGAAGGAATAAGTTTTGACTGGAAAAATAAATCTGATACTTTCTCCCCAGAAAAGGATGGCTGAAATCATGACAGAGATGGCAAATACACAGGGACAGACGGCAGACTGACACCGAGATGGGAGAGAGCAGAGAGGGAGGAAGGGAGGAGCTAACATCAGCAGGCCCTGGGCGATGGGCAGAGCCCAGCTTAGGAAATCTGGGCTCAGGCAGCAGAAAGGCGTCAGTTCTGTAGCACGGTGCCCACGGTAACACTGCAGCATGATGCACTACTTACCTGTCTGTGGTGATGATGGCACGTACCTACTGACGGCCAGCTGTATGAAAGTCTAGCACACACGATTACACACAGGACACAATGCACTCATGTTACTGGTTTGTATATTTGCTATACTATACTTTTCACTGTTGTTTTAGAGAATACTCTTCTACCTATTACACAAGTCAACAGGGTCAGGTACAGTGGCTCATGCCTATAATCCTGGCAATCTAGAACGCCAAGGTGGGAGGATCCCTTGAGCTCAGGAGTTTGAGACCACCCTGAGCCTATCTCCACTAAAAACAGAAAAAATGAGTTGGGTGTGGTGTCTCCTTAGGAGACATAGGTGGGACAATCAACCCCTTGAACCCAGGAGTTTGAGGATGCTGTGAGCTATGATGATGCCACTATACTTCTAGCTGGGGCAACAGAGCAAGACTCTGTTTCAAAAAAAAAAAAAGTTAACTATCAAACAATCTCTCAGGCAGGTCCTTCTGGAGGTGCTGCAGAAGGCACTGTCGTCATAGGAGACAGCAGCTGAGGGTGTGTTACTGCCCCTGGGGGCCTTCCAGTAGGACAAGATGTGGAGCTACAAGCCAGCAATCCTGACAATCCTGGCCCCGTGTAGGCCTAGGACACTGTGTGGATTTGTGTCCTAGTTTTAAACGAACTTCAAGAAGTAAAAAAATACATATTTTAAATAGAAAACTTAGATATAAAGAAAATATTTTTTGTACAGTTGTACAATGTGTTTGTTCTAAGCAGTGTTATCATAAGAGTTAAAAAGATCAGAAAGTGAAAAAGTTTATGAAGTGAAATAATTAGAGTCAAGCTAAAATTGATTATCAAAAAAAACCCCCAAACCTTAATAAGCTCAGTGTAGCCTGCAGCAGTGCACAGTGGTGTCCAAGGCCTTCACACTCACTCCCCATCCCTTACTGACTCACCTGGAGTAACTTCTACTCCAGCAAGACCCTTCATGGGGGCTTGGCGCCTGTGGCTCAAGTGGCTAAGGCGCCAGTCACATACACCTGAGCTGGTGAGTTCGAATCCAGCCCGGGCCCACCAAACAACAATGACGGCTGCAACCAAAAAATAGCCGGGCGTTGTGGCGGGCACCTGTGGTCCCAGCTACTAGGGAGGCGGAGGCAGGAGACTCGCTTGAGCAGGAGTTGGAGGTTGCTGTGAGCTGTGATGCCACAGTACTCTACCCAGGGTGACAGCTTGAGGCTCTGTCTCAAAAAAAAAAAAAGACCCTTCATGGGAAGTGTCTACACAGGTGTACCATTTTTTAATCCTTCATACCATACTTTTACTCTACCTTCTCTGTGTTTAGATACGCAAATACTTACCATTGTGTTATGACTATCCACAGCATTCAGTACGGTAACACGCTGTACAGGTCCGGAGTCTAGCAGGCTATCCCCCCCCGCCCCCCGCCACGTGTGTGTAAGCACACTCTGATGTCTGCACAAGGAAGAATTCACCTAACAACACGTTACTGAGAACAGATCTGCTGTTAAGTGACTGTCCTCAGAAGTGCGGTGGGAGGGGATGAATAGTGTGACAAGAAAGATACATCACTTAATAGCTCAAAACACTGCAAGAAACATACATACAAAGATTTGACCTGATTAAAATATGCCTTAGAACAGAGGAAAATTAGGCATCACACTAAGTTGTCCTTAATTTTCACTGTTCATCTCAGACTGGACCAGCTCCAAGATGGGTATAGGTAGGAACTACTTTTCAGATGGCCAGGGCCCTCTACCCCTTGCAGCCCGGGAAGGTGGGCCCAACTCTAGTCTCTGAAGACAAACCAGGCAGGGAAACAGAAGAAAAGCTCTTGCTGCTGCAGCTTGCCTTGCAAAGCCTAACGCACCACACAGCTGGGAACATGTCCAAGATCAGTTTGCAACCGTGAAATATGCTTCCCCTTAAAACAGAACCGACTGCTCTCTCCCCTGAACCTCAGGACCCTAACTGATCAGACTGAGGCAGCCCCGGTAAAGACCTGCAGGGAAAGGCTGCAGAGCCTAGAGATACAGGCTTATGTCAAAAGGGCCTGACGGTAAAAATAAATGGCATGTGTGTGTGTGCACGCGTGTGATCTATCCCTTTAAAACATTTTCTATCCCCCCTCCCTTTAATCTCTACAGAATTCAGATGACCAACTCGAGAACAGGAAAGGGAAGCAAAGTGAGGTGACTGGCCAACTCTAACACGACAGAATGATACTGAGATTCTGAAAGAAAGTTAAGGCCTTTCACTTGGGGGCAAAAAAACATCACTATGATGCTCAAAGAATTATGAGGACAGACCAAAGGACAAAGACGCCTGCCTGAAGGTTACCACTGGTCAAATCTGCCAAGCCAACATGCCTGCAGCCCACGGCCAGCCTGACCCCACCCAGGCCTCACTCCTTGGAGCTAGGATGAGAAGCGCAGGCTCTTCCTCCCTGCGGTCCTTCAGTCCATACACACTACCCACCACTGAGCCCGCCACAGAGGCTGTCATCTATTTCAGCAGTTTTGCAGCAGGATTTAAAGACCAACCTCTCTGAACAGAGTCCTTTTATGGACAAATATAGAACTCTTTTAAGAGCTAAACCAGCTGGGTGACTACTTCCTTGACTTACCATATTCTTCTGGGACCTGCAGCCCAAAAAGTCCCAAGCTCTTCAATTTCTGCAAAGTTTCGTCTGGGATTTTTCCCTCCTGGTCAATTTTTCGAGAGTCCACTGCCAATAGGAAATATCTTAATTAAACAAATATAAACTACTTTTATACAAATAAATTAAACAGAATAGTTTTTATGTAATATACGATCTCACAGTCAAAAACTTGGAAAAAATCTTTTTTTTTTTTTTTTTGGACAAGGTCTCTCTCTGTCACCTGGGCTAGAATGCAGTGGTGATCATAGATCATGCCAACCTCAAACTCCTGAGTTCAAGCGATCCTTTTGCCTCAGTCTCCTGAATAGCTGGGACTACAGGTCCCCACCATGACACCTGGATAATTTTTCTGTTTTTAGTAAATATGGGGTCTCATTCTTGCTAGGCTAGTCCTGAACTCCTGGTCTCAAGCAATCCTTCCACCTCAATCTCCCAAAGTGCTGGGATTACAGGAATGAGCCACCTTCCCCAGCCAAAACTCCTACTTCTAAGGTAGGTGGCATTCTGCCTCTTGGTCTGGGTACTAATCACATAGGTGCTTCTGCTGTGCAGAACAGCAACAAATTATAAACTGACGAAATGTAAGTTTTCCAATAGGCATACTAAACTTTAGTTTTCTTTTTTTTGCCAGTAACTTCTAGGAAATAAGAAAATTAATATGCAACTCTCAGAACTGTACCAAAGGCCAGAGGTAGTGGCTCTCACCTGTAATCCCAGCACTCTGGGAGGCCACGGCAGGAGGATCACTTGAGCTCAGGAGTTCAAGACCACCCCGAGCAATAGCAAGACACCGTCTCTACTAGAAATAGAAAAACTAGCCAGGCATTGTGGCAGGTGCCTGTAGTCCCAGCTACTGGGGAGACTGAGGCAAGAGGATTTGCTTAACTCCAAGAGATTGAGGTTGCTGTGAGCTCTAAGGCCTTGGCACTGTACCCAGGGTGACAAAAGTGAGACTCTTGTCTTTAAAAAAAGAAAAAGAAAGAAAGAGGGCAGTGCCTGTGGCTCAAAGGTGTAGGGCACTGGCCCCAGATAACAGAGGTGACAGGTTCAAGCCTGGCCCCAGCCAAAAACTGCAAAAAAAAAGAAAAGAAAAAGAACTGTACTAAATGTTTGGCTAGAGTGGTTCTCAACCTGTGGGTTGCGACCCGAATGACCCTTTCACAGGGGTCACCTAATACATCAGATATTTACATTACAATTCCTAACAGTAGCAAAAATTATAGTTATGAAGTAGCAACAAAAATAATTTTATGGTTGGGGGTCACTACAATATGAGGAACAGTATTAAAAGGTTGCGTCATTAGCAAGATTGAGAACTACTGGACTAGATAGATATTTCTATGCAGTCTATGGGCTAAGATCTACCTTGCTGTCAGAGGCCACAATGCTTCACCAGAGTCCACAAGTTAAGACAATTTAACCTGTTCAGCACCAAGTCATTCTTTCAGCCAACACTCAAATTCACGGGAACAAAACTGAGTATTCAATATCACTAGGTCTGTAACTGCACACCACTGCACACAGTAAGTTAATTAAAGTGTACTTCTGAATTGTTAATTCACCAGTATAATAAATTGTGAAAATACCATAACCTACATTTAGGAATTTCTTTTTTTTTTCTTTTTCCTTTTTTGAGACAGAGTCTCACTATGTTACCCTGGGTAGAGTGCTGTAGCTTCACAGCTCACAGCAACCTCAAATTCTTGGGCTCAAGCAATTCTCTTGTCTCAGCCTCCGGAGTAGCTGGGACTACAGGTGCCCACCACCAACACCCGGCTATTTTTTGGTTGCAGTTGTCATTGTTGTTTAGTAAGCCAGCCACCAACTTCGGCGTATGTGGCCAGCACCCTACTCACTGAGCGGCAGGCGCAGAGCCTACACTTAGGAATTTCTGTATAGCTGAGTCACTAAAGAGAACTCTGGATTCCCCAAAATGCAATCCAAATCCCTCACTTCTTATGCTTTCATAACTTTACTGACATATATTTTTGGCACAGAATAACCTGCATATATTTATATTATATAATTTGTTGAGTTCTGGCATGTGCTCACCCACAAAGACATCGGCACAGTCAAAAAGAAAATACTTTCTTTACCACCACAAGTCTCTGTGCCCCTTTGGGATCCTTTGTCCCATCCACTTCCATCTTCAGGCAACCACCAATCTGTTTTTCATCTGTAGATTAGTTTGCATTTTCAAGTTTCAATAAGTGAATTCAAAAAGCAGATTTCTTTTCCCTGGCTTCCTTCATTCAGATTTTGAGATTCATCCATGCCGTTGCACATATAAATACTTTATTACTTTTCTTTCTTTTGGGGAGAGAGATTCACTTTGTTGCCCTTGGTAGAGTATCAGGGTGTCAGAGCTCACAGCAACCTCCATCCAGCTCTTGGGCTAGGGCAATTCTCTTGCCTCTGCCTCCCAAGTTGCTAGGTCTACAGGGACCCACCACAACGCCCGGCTATTTTTGTTGCAGTTGCCACTGCTGTTTTAGCTGGCCGGGGCCAGGTTTGAACCCAGCACCCTCAGTATATGGGGCCGGCACCCTACCCACTGAGCCACAGGTGCCACCCTCATTACTTTTTTTGTTCAATATTCTATTGTATAGATATGCAACTGTTCATCCTTATTTAATTAACAGTATAAATACACATAACCAAGAAGCTCAAGGAATTTCAAACAAAAGAGATGTACAAAAACTAACATCAACACATACTATGATCAGTTCCTCTAACACCACTTAAAAATAGGCAAAGATGGCTCGGCGCCTGTGGCTCAAGCAGCTAAGGTGCCAGCCACATACACCTGAGCTGGCGGGTTTGAATCCAGCCTGGGCCCGCCAAACAACAAGG